GATCCTTGAATACCGTTTTCGCTGAATATGGCCACTGAATATCACATATGTTTGGTAAATTTGCTTCATACCCTTTTTTCGAAATCGCGTTGTTCATTCCCCGTAACTTGTTACGTTTTTTTTCTAAGGATAGTTGAGATCAACAGAAAAGTTTGCAATTGTCTTAAACAACGAATTTCCGATAATCAAGACCTGTCAAGAGCTTTCCCATTTTGCATTTGAGAAGAGAGAGAAATTATTTCTAAACAAGCTTGTCTTCTCCGCATTAACTTTTATCAAAACTTAGATGGAACAAGTGACAACGGCAAATGCATCTTGAAGGGTGCGAGTACGGTATTTGTGTCCGACAGTTCGGTTCTTTGTGATATAATCATATTATCCAGAACTGTTGTCCAGACTTATCACTAACTTTTTCAAAAAATAATTTTCACGATACCAAATATGGAGAGATTTCATTCAGACTTCGGGGTTTTCTGCATGCTATACTGCAGAATTCGAAGATGCAAGAGCTTGTGATTTTATCAGTCACTGAATAAGTTCTTTTAGAAAAGGTCTGGCTGTTGGTGCTTACACCATCTGGGTAACTCGATTTTTCATGATTGCCACTTTTCCGATTGCATTTCCTATCTCCAAGGCAAGTTTCTATTCTTTGCGCTTTCCTCTCGGGTGTGTTCATACCCTTAGGCTTCTTTTTCAGGTATTGGATTTTGTTCTTGGAGAAGAAGTAGTGTCCTACGACCGTAAGCGTCTCATGGAACTGATCAAGATGAGTAATGAGGAGGGGCTAGTCGAAGAATTGAAAATTGCTGTTGGTGCGATGGAAATAAGTGATAAAACCGTGACAGACGTGATGACAAGAATAAGCGTAAGTTTTATCTTTTAGATATCTCTGACTATCTGTTCCTGTATTGTTTCCATGTTCAGTATGTTATAGATGAGATCTTAGCATTTCTTTCAGTATGCAAAGAATGTACACATTTCCAATTTTAATTATTTAGTTGGCCTCCGATATAGCATTCAGTTTTTAAGGAACATATGTAGACTCGAAAAAGTACATCTTAAAAAATAACTGTTTACGTTCAACTGTCACCTTTCCTTGGGGTAATCTGAAAATTCATACATAAAACGCGTTCAGGATGTCTTCATGCTTTCCAATACTACCGTGCTCAATACCAAGACTGTAGCTGAAATTCTCCGTATGGGCTATACACGAATACCAGTATATGATGGTGAATATGATTGGACTTCATGACATGTTCATACTTACTCATCCCAGCTATTCCTACATTTTGTGTTTTTTCAGGCGATCGCAACAATGTCGTTTCTTTGCTGTTTGTAAAAGACCTCGCACTATTAGATCCGGATGATAACTTTACCATACAAACGGTGTGCGGTTATCATCAGCACCCCTTGCGATTTGTTGATGAGCATACCCCTCTTCGTGTCATGTTAGAAGAATTCAAAAAGGTATCTTCATATTCATTCTTCACTATCTCAAACTCACCGTCACGTGCTTAGGGAGATTACCACTTGGCCATGGTGCACCGCTTCGTTTCCTCAGACGATGCAGATCCAAAGTTCGAAAATGTTGGGGTTGTTACGCTGGAAGATATTGTTGAGGAAATTTTACAGGTACGTTTTTT